AAGAAAGATTCAAGAAATGGTCAGTACAGATCAAGATCAAGCAAGGATGGCGGGAATCCGTCATCAAGGGGATCTTTTAAGTGCTATCATTGTCACAAAGACGGTCATTTCAAGAGGAACTGCCCAGACAGGAAGAATAAGTATCAAGAAGAGCCAGAAGAATCAGGAGAAGCAAGCGTAGCCTCTGATGACTACGATTCTGCTGAGGCCCTGGTGATCACAGAATCTGAATCCAGTAAAGAATGGATCCTCGACTCAGGGTGTTCTTTCCACATGTTTCCTCACAAAAACTGGTTCGAGACACTGCAACAATAAAATGATGGGTTTGTTCTACTGGGAGACAATAAAGCTCACAGGGTTGTTGGAAGTGGATCAATCAGGATAAGGATGTTTGATGGAGTTGAACGAGTACTGAAAAATGTCAGGTACGTACCAGAGCTCAAAAGAAATCTGATTTCTTTAGGTACGTTGGAGTCAAGCGGATGCTCGTTCAAGGCAAAGAATGGTTGCATCAGAGTAACCAAAGGCCCTCGTGTCGTCATACAAGGAGTCAGGAAAAATGGGTTGTACTCCCTTATCGGAAGAACCGTGATTTACTCAAACAAGGGCTGAGGGCCCCTCAGGGGCTAGGTGGAGGGAATCTTTACTTCGAAGCTTCTCAATTAAGGGTCAAGGTGGAGAATTGTTATTTTGACCCCCAATTAATGAACTAAGGTAAAAAAGACACTTTTGTAATGTGGTACCGCTCACCTATCACATCTCACCTACCGCTCACCTACCTCCCACCTACCACTCTCTTGCTTCTATAAATAGAGAAGGTGTGAGGCTGAGGAGAGCAATGGAAGAGATCTTAAGCTACCACAATGGAGGAGAGAATAGCTATAGAGATAGAGAGGAGGAGAGCATCTTGAGGTCTTGTATCAAGGTGTTGCTTGAGAGGGAGGCCATAGAAGGAAGATGAGGGCTCATCTCTATGTATAAGCTATGTATTCTCCATTTCTTTTGCCTTAGTGAACTATTTGATTGATTCCCTCTCGTGGACGTAGATCCAGTTGGATCAAACCACGTAAACGATCTGTGTTTGCTTGTATTCTGTGCGTCTCATTTCTATGTCAGGAAGTACATATCTCACAACAAGT